AATACAGATGTCTGGCCCGACTCCTGAATCTCTTTACTTGCTAGGCTTAGTATATTCTTGTTATATTATTTTATATCTCAAAATTTTTCCTCTATGAAATTATGTTTCTCAATTTTAATAAATCATATTATTTTGGCTATAAGCTTAATCATTATTCTTAGGGACAACTTTTCTTTTTTGGGGGAGGTGACTTTTTTATCTTTTTTTAGCATGCTTTGGAAACAACCAAATTTCCTTGTTGGTTGCATCGTTATTAGGCACCTCTCATCCAACCTTTCACATGTGAGGGTTTCTAGTTATAAGTTAAACAGCTATTTTAAGTCTCTGCCATCTACAGACAGTTTTTATTTTACTCTGATGCCTGCCTGAAGGCTCTGCTATAAGCTATAGGCTAATTTTGTCTTCAGCCAAGAAGGATGGTCTCAGAGGCTTTTCTCAGTACAGAAAAGGACTATACCAGGTACTTCAAACTCTCAGTGCTTTATAACTTGGCCTCTAGCACACAGGCTTCTGAGCTGGCATCTCTTTGATAATTTTCACACCATACTGGTGGACTAAATCAAGACCTTCAGGACTGTTTTTAGTCAGGAGGACTGCTAACCCAAGGCCCAGGGAACGAGAATTAATTACATAAGACTGAGTGAACTGATGAGGGAAATTTCACTGTGATTATTTTTTTGGCATGCTGATTTTAGTGTTCTATATTCTGGTTGTATAAATAAACCCTTTTCTTTCTTCTTAAGCTATTTGTAACCTATAAAATTTAGCAGGTTCTGCTTTCTTAAACTGAAACAGAACATTAAAAAATTATATTTGATCCCCACTGACCTCACAGAATTCAGAAACTCTGATTGAGTCTCCATACTTTTCATGGCAATATTATTATTGGCAAATGTTCAGCAAGAATCTGTTCTCCTTAGTAGGATACAATTGGATGAATTGATGGTACAACCAGGATCCTACCTGGAGCGTCATAGGTGAGAATGATGCTTATTTCATTAGATAGGACCAAGCACTTATCGGGAGCTAAGGTTGACTTTGCTTATGGAGTCAATGCTTACAAAGCTCTCCTAGGAAAATTGTCTGATGTCTGGTTATAGGATCCCAGCCTTACAGGGAAGAGGAAGGTGACTTCCTGGCAGATCAGAAACCCTAAGAAATGTGGAGGATTTTAAGAACAAAGAAGTTCACCAAATTTATAGACACTGCAGGTGAAATTTGATGGCAAGAGTTCATCCAGATCATTCTATCTTCTATCTTCTATTCTACTTTAAATGGACATATAGCAAGAGATCAGTAGGCTAATTTAAGGACAGCAGCTTCTGGTTTAGCAGCTAATTCGGATACATGCCTTTTCCCAGGAGGAAATCTACATCCTTGTAGGAGTTCTGGAGTAATGCTCAAGACACCTCGCAAGAGAATGAGCTAATATAACTCTGGTCTTAATAAGCCTCAGAAGACAAATAAAATAAAGGCAGAACTATAATCATGATCAGAAAGGGAAAAGAAAAGTGTTAAAACAACCATTTTGCCACCATAAAGTCTGTTTCTCTTTCAGCACCAGCAAAGAGATATTGCTGAAAAGGAAGTTTTTGTTGGTGTTTCGTTTTGTTTTTAATTGAAGTATAGTCAATTTACAATGTTGTGTTAATTTCTGGTGTACAGCATAGTTTTTATATATATATATATATATATATATGTATAATTTTTCATATTCTTTTTCATTATAGGCCATTACCAGGTATTGAACATAGTTCCCTGTGCTATACAGTAGGACCTTGTTGTTTATCTATTTTATATGTAGTAGTTAGTGTCTACAAATCCCAGATTCCCAATTCATCCCTCCCCACCTCTTCCCCCTTGGTAACCATAAGTTTGTTTTCCATGTCTGCGAGTCTGTTTCTGTTTTGTAAATAAGTTCATTTGTGTCATTTTTTTTTAGATTCCACATATAAGTGATATCATATGGTATTTGTCTTCCTCTTTCTGGCTTTTGTCACTTAGTATGACAATCTCCAGGTTCACCCATGTTGCTTCAAATGGCGTAATTTCATCCTTTTTATGACTTTTTATACATTGTGTGTGTGTATATATATGTGCATATATATATACACACTGAAGTATTTAAATGAATAAAAAAGAAATTAAAATAAAATAAAATAATTTGTTTCTTTGACATATATAAAAGGAAAATGTTTACCAGATGAATTTGATCAGATAGACATAATTTAAAGACAAATGTAGCCAAATTATGTAACCCAGAGCTAGATTCTAGCTGCAAAGCTTTTAGAGGGATAACAAAAAAGAAATGATTTTGTAGAAACTAAGATGAATAGATTCAGAAACAAAATCCAGAATGAATTTTTCTGGCCAGAGGGCAGGAATGCTGAAGTAAATCCTTCTCCTGAGCTTTATGGAGTATTTGGGTCACAATGACCCACTTAGGTAGATTTTTAATTTTTGCTGATCATCCAATTTAATATTTTTTATTGCAGTACAGTCAGTTACAATGTGTCAGTTTCTGGTGTACAGCACAATGTCCCAGTCAAGCATATACATACATATATTCACCATCACACTCCTTTTCACTAAAAGTTACTACAAGACACTGAATATAGTTCCCTATGCTATACAGAAGAAATTTGGTTTTTTGTCTATTTTTATATACAGTGGCTAACATTTGCAAATCTCAAACTCCCAAATTTGTCCCTTCCCACCTCCTTTCCCCAGTAACCGTAAGATTGTTTACTATGTCTGTGAGTGTTTCTGTTTTGGAGATGAGTTATTTGTGTCCTCTTTTTTTGTTTTTTTTAGATTTCACATACGAGTGATATCATACGGTATTTTTCTTTCTCTTTCTGGCTTACTTCACTTAGAATGACAATCTTTAGATCCATCTAGGTTGCTGCAAATGGCATTATTTTATTCTTTTTTATGGCTGAGTGGTATTTCATTGTATAAATAAATATACCACAACTTCTTTATCCCAATTTAATTTTTTTTCAAACTCTAGTTCTAGTGAAACATAGACTTTGGCATAGGCTTAATTTCCAGGACTGCCCTCTGTGTATCCCCCCCACCCCACTACCCAGGTGTTTCCTCTCCTGAGTGTCATGGAAAGGAGACGGGATGGCTCTCATCATTCTTATGTTGACCCTCTTGGGTATTTTTTCCTCCAGACTTTGGGGTCCTTTTGCCTCTCCTATCACTGCTGTGACAAATCATACACTTCTCTACTGATTATTACCTCCTGGAACTTGGAATCTGCAGTCCCTCTGAATACAGTGCAGCTACCGTGGGCTCAAAGGGTATATGTGGAACCAGCCACACTTCCCTTTCTGCCTAATTCCTTATACCACATTAACACAAGGCTGTGTGGATGAAGCAGATTTACCAGAAGGTAGGGCTAACTGAATGGACTTACAATGTGGGAGTAAATAACGGTAAAATTGTATATTAAAGTCAGCCTTACTCACACTAGAATAAAAGCAACAGGAATCTTGAAAGTGATCCTAGAATCCTCCCCTAGTTCACAGTCTGTAAATTCCTTAATGGCAAAAACTGGGCCTCGTGCATCTTTGTCTGGTACTCAACAGATGCTGCATGAATGTTTATTGAACTGAACTGTTTTAAAGGAATTGGGAAATTATGAAGTCATGAAATTGCGACATGGGAGCATTAACTTCCAAGTAAGGACAACTCCTATCAGGAAAAAGCTCAGGTAAGATGCAATGCCCAGGATGACTTTGGACTAATCACCATCCTGACCTCTTCCTCTACCAAAAGATTAAGGGGATTTTCTACTTTCACTATGGGAATGCAGCTTCGATTTTATTAAGGGAAGTGAAGGGAAAAAGAATTCCTATCCCAGAAATGTGTAAGAGAAATAACTCTCCAGAATCACACCTATTCTACTGAGTAAAGTGTGTGTTCAGTGGGTTCATGATGTCATGAGCTTCCCTTGGCTAGTCTGCCAACTCTTTTAGGGTGGAACTACATATTATTCATATTTATATCCCTAAGGCTAGCACAGTGCCTGGTTCAGAAGACTAGATAAAAACTGACTGAATGTAGAATGAATGCTATTTAACGTTTCTCTGCTAGTAGTCATTCAATTCCTGCGGGCCAGGGCTCTGTCCTCGTGCATTTTCTGCAATCCAGCAATGCCTATCTGGCCCATGGCAGCGAATGAGCACTCAACAGGTGCAATCACTGGGCATGTACTCTTGTTTTAAAATGTACTTTCTCCTCTTCCAAACTAGCAGTTGATCATTTCGGTTATACAATATGAATTGAAGGTGAGTAATATACAAGATAGTATTATGAAGTGTATTACTAAGAAATACTAAGCTTTATGTTAACGCAAAAAAAAAAAACAAACAAAACCCATATCCCCAAACCGTCAGCTTCCTTTCCAAATGAACATTCATATCAGTATCTAGTAAATGTGTTTAGGAAAAACATTTCTTCACATCAATCAAAAGACGGAGAGCTGTGATTTCTGAAAAAGCTCCGTTTCCCTTAGGTTTTCTCAGCTCCACTGCTGAGACAAGGTACAAGTTATCTGCAATGTGAGCCTCCCTTGAGTTAAAGTGACATTTGGGAAAACGCTTTCCTGGCCTTCTAACTCCAGAAAACACGACCACACAACTCCGCTTCACTGTAACCTGCCAGCCGCGGGTTTCGGGCCGGTGCTGTGACGTCACCGGGCTCGCAGGCCACGGCGCAGGTCTCCAGCTCCGGTGATTGGCTGGGGCCCATGACGTCACGAGCCGGGGCCGCCTGGGTTCGGGAGGGCCCGGGGATGCTCTGGGTTCGTTTTTAAAAAGCGAGGGTGGGGACAAGGGACTCCACAGAGCGCCCAGTCCCTCCCGTCGCTCCCCGTCCCTCTCTGCCGCACCCGCCGCCTACCGTGC